AACCGGATATGGAGCCTAGAAGAGCAGCATGCTGTTAATATGTCACTGGTCAAAGCTCTCAAGATCGAGTTGGATCGATGCAGAGAGGAAATCAAGGAGTTGCAGATGGAGAAACATGCGGATAGAGAAGGTATCACTGAGCTAAACGAGAGTAAGTTCACGAGGAGGAGAACAGAACAAGAGAAGCCGAAGAGGCGGTCAGACGGGTTGCACTGGAAATTAGGGCAAGAACTCTGCCAAGTGAAGCTTTGTCTTGCCGAAGCTTTGAAAGAACTTGAACGGGAGAGAAGAGCGAGTGTTCTTCTGGAGAATCTGTGTGACGAGTTTGCAGAAGCGGTAAAAGAATACGACGTAAGGAGACTGGCGGGGAAGTCTCCAGAGGTCGAGAGGGAAAACGTAGAAAGACTAATTGTGCATGTAGCAGAAGCATGGCTCGACGAGAGAGTTCAGATGAAGTTACAGGAAGATGAAGAGGATTCACCGGGAAATACCTGCATTGTGGATAAGTTAGGTCTCGATATAGAAACATTTCTCAGAGCTAAACAAATCCGTGGTTCAACGAAAGAGAAAAAAGGTCATCCCCTGCAGTTTAATCGCTCGAACAGATTTGAACAAAGTCGCAGTGAAAGTAAGTCACGTTCTCTTGGTCTGAACAGGAGTTCGAGCCGGAGACAGAGGAAAGGCAGTGAGATGAAGCAAAGGGTTAGCTCAAGTAAACTCGAAAAAGCTTCCAACTTGCAGAATCTGGTCGGCTGGTACGAGTACGACTACCATATTGCGACAAGCAATGCCCGGTTTCCGGAAAAGGAAATAAGAAGAGACAACCAGCCCGAGATTTTACGAGAACTATGCAGTCGGAAAAGCGAATGGGTCGGTGAGATTCACGGAATGGGATCGAATCAAGCTCCTGACTGTATGGTGAGGAACCAGTCTGTATCATCTGAAGGCGAAAAGATTCACCCAGAGAGTTGTAGTGGTAGTTCAAAGGAAATCGAGCATTGCGGTTCACACGATGTAGACAAGTCTAGAACTTGTCCGAAGCAGACTCGAAGTGTAAAAGACAACTCTCTGCAGGCAAAACTGATGGAAGCGCGGCTTGAGAGCCGGCGTTTGCGTTTGCGTTTTTGAAACCCGCGTTTCCGTGAGCCGCAGCCACATGGTATGAAGCAATCTCCGAGCCCTCTGGTTCATCTTGACCCTTTCGAGAACTCGACGCCTCACACGACGCATGCAGTTTGTTGAGTATACTTACATATGCTTATGCAAGTTATGCATATAAGCGGAAATACGTACACGGTACATCTATGCGTATGGATGGTTCCATCAGTTTGATTGTTTGGCTATTCATCTGCAATTTGCTAAACCAATGAATGTACCGAACGAGCAAACCGGTTCACGAGCCATCTCAATTAAGGAACTTCGTTAGAGTCACTAATGATAATCAGTTCACGATGCTTTCTGTAATCTCACAAGTTTGACCAAACTTTAATGACACAATCTCGCATTCAGATCCTCTTGAATCTCGTAAATTTAATTTCTCTTGAAAAGTTAAAAGCAAAGCAAATAACGTTTGACGTTTAATATAATTAGATCAATAAATATTGCATAATAACAAAAATATAATTGAAAAAAAAAAACAGCTAAGAGCATTAGCCCATCGTCCTCGCTGGGATTTCCTTTCTGCGCAGATCTGTCATCTATGTGCATCCGCCATTGCACTCTCCTACCAAAAGAAGACAGAGAATCAACCGGACCAGATTTCCTTCACCATTTCTAATTAATGGCGATATTTATTGCCCTTTTACCATTATTGTTTCTGTAGATTAGGGTTTTGCTGTAGTCTATATAAACCCACTTTATAGCAATCAAACCCTGCATTCTGTCTTTCTTGTTTTTTGCAGGAGGAGGAAGGAAGGTGGTCATGTGGCGAGTAAGTGGAGGAAGGAGCCCCCTTCATTCAAAACGAGGAGGAGAAAGGAAGGAAAAGAGACGGAGCAGAAATGGGATCTAAGAGTTCATGGATTCCTCTTTGGGGAGTGCGCAGGTTAAGAGCTTGTGGTGTGCGCACTCTATAAGGGTTTGCATGGCCTTTTAGATCCTTCTCTCTCCTCCTCTCCTCTCCGTTTGGATTGAAGGGAGCTCCTCTCTTCCCTCTCAATCTTTTTTTTTTCTTTTTTGTTTTTTTTATAACGGGGAACCACCCACGGCTTTTGGAACTCGGTGATAAACCGTCTGATTCTACGTGCAAACCATGTGGAACAAATAAAACATCCAAAATGTGATAGATTCGCTGGAGAGTCCCGTGATATTTTGGAGAATTATGGACCCTTTAACCATTGCACAGGTTTCGAAAGGTTTTTCTCTCAATCTTATGTATGATTTGTGCGTTGAATTGCATGCATATGGTGTGTATATATATATAAGGCAAGTAAGTTTTTTTTTTTGGTATGATGTAAGGCAAGTAAGTTGTTTTCTCATTATTTATATACAGATGTGCACGTGGGTCTATGCTTATGCGAGGTTCCAAACTCATCGACCATCTATATGTAGTCAGTTTTTATCAAGTGCATCACTCCGTAGGGTGGACGTGGGTATTTGAAACTCCCGGATTTTTGGGTATCCGATTTTATGGGTATTCGAAAGTTTGATACTCGTTATATACCAAAGATGAAAATGGGTGCGATGAAGCCAATGATTTGGATTGAGGGTTCGTTTTTTAATGATGAAGATATTTTTGGATACCAAGATATGAATAAAATAATGTTTATATCATTGATGTTTTAATGTATTTACAATAATATCTAAATATTTTTTTATAAAAAAAATTACTAAAATAATCCTAAAATTCAAACAATCTACGTTTTTTTAAATGTTGATGGGTTCCGATATTCTCGGGTAATTGAGTCAAGAGATGAATAGGGTAAAATCACTCACATATATCAAACCTGTCGCACTAATTTCTCGGATACACCCAAAAAAATATAATCCATTAAATTTTCTTCGAAAAAACCATATTATTCTTAATGAAACCGTGTAATTATAATTGCAACATCGTAATTGATTTAAATACAGTTGCAATAGATTCTAAATACAGTTACAATTCATTTTAAATGAGGTGGTAAAAAATACATCTAATTGTTTACAAGATCTTTAGTTGTTATACGATTGTAAATACTTCTTTTTTTATTCATATGTTAGTTATATAACAGTCGTATAATAAGATCGTAAAAAATATGAAAGAAAGGTTATTTTAGACTTTTTAAACCTGAAAGTGGTATAGAATTGAAATTTAACCGGATGAATATCCGAGTTGGCGTAGACTCGATTCATGTAAACGGAAAAGATATAATATTTTTCTAAAACGGTGAAGACGACCTCCAGGTATGTTTTTTTGTTTTTTTCACAACAATGGCATCCGTTTGGGCTGAGCCCAAATGTTTTTCCGAAATAAAATCTCACGAGGTAATTATTCAATAGGCCGAAAAAGTGGGCCCAATAGACAAAACCCAGTATATGCAAAGCCCATCACGCTATGGTAGGTTTTCCAATTTACTCGGAGCGTCGAGAGTCGGGCACGCTGGACCGTCCGATTTAACATTGAAATCCTCGCCGCAATTCCTATTTCAGCATGATTCGCCGTGTCAGAATATCGATATCATTATTCAAAATTTCAAGTATCGGTTTCTAATTTTATACCATGGATGGGAAAATTTATATTTATACGTACTATAAGATATACAGACAAAAAAAAAAATGAATGACCAAATTGTAGTCAAATGATAACAGGGTGACAGACAGATTACATTCCCACTAAAATAGGAAAATAAGAAACATCTGTTCCACTAATTGTATGGTTAATTACTTGGGGAAGAAATATAATAGAGAAAAAAAAGGTGGAATTAGGTAGATAAAGCCACGTCAGCAGGAAAACGGCGCGCGTGAGGGTCGGG